ATTAGTTCCCCGAGATACACCTAAAAGGCTTTTCGCCTAACGTGCGTACGGAGTCAAAGTAGCCGGAAAATAAAAAACGCAACCATAAGCGAGTTAAATACCTTCCATAAAAGTAACAAATCTATGGGACAATTTCTTTTACGGTTAACTCTTTTTCACCCAATTTACGGCTAACGGTTAAAATGTTTCAATTTTTACGGCTATCGACTAAATTTTTGGCCGTTTTACGCCTATCGGTTAACCCCATTGAGACCCTCATGAAAGGCCACGCGTAAAACGTGAAAGTTGAGCGAGGTTCAGCTTTTACGTTTACGCTTGACCTTTCATACACTGTCTTTACGCCCGTAAAATTTAAGTGCGTACGCACGTAAAAATTATGCGACAGTGGAAATCCGCCTTTATCCGAGTCAGTGCCTTACCGGCAAAAACACGGACAGGCTGGCTGTAAAGAAAAGGAGAAGTTGAAATACCGAACTAGGCGCAGTATAACATAAGATTTCCGTCTTTGTACACTCATCTTGTGGGTTCATGCATTCGGCTTTATTTCCGCCGATCTCTCGTGCCTGGTCTTTTTCCATCCCGAGAAGAGAGCAAGAACAAGAAGTCTCTAAACCTTTGAATATTTAAACTAAGCTGAGTGCTCTGCATTGCAAAAGCGACTATTTCTATTTGACCAACAATGGTCCCAGATGCAAAAAGTTTAGAAATATATTTTATTATCAAATAGCAACATAAGCAAAACTGAATTTTAAGATTTCAAATGAAAGTTTAATCACATTGTAAATTAATGTAAAGTTAAAAAACTCTGACTATGTTTATAGAACATCGCTGAACAGAAAAGATGTCATCAATGCGTGAAAAAAACTGAAAATGGTGCGTTACTCGTCATTGATACACTTCGGTTAGCCAATCAGCTCTCGGAATCTTTCTCAGAATTATAAGACAATGAATTGCAAATAAAATGACAAAAAAAGAAATCAAACCATAGGTAAAATTGCACCAGATCGAGCATTGTCAAAAAGGAAAAGCTGAAGACCGAGATGCTCGAAAAGAACGGGTGAAAACGCAGCGGAAACCAGCACAATTAAAACGGAAGTGAACACGCGACAATACATGTGACCCGAAACAGATGCAGATGTTTATTTCTAGCGGACTGACTGTTATTAGCCTGAGTATCAGGCGTTTCTGGGGAAAAGGGGAAAGATGGAAGCGAAAAAGGGAGAGAGCTGAAGGAGAGAAACGCCTGACACAGATGCTTTTACTGGAGCCTTCCACCCCCACACAGCATGATTCGATACCATCCAATCAAAATCACTTCCGGTCATTGGATTGTCAGCTTCACGTGTCAAAAAGCTAGCCTAAAATAAATCTCACCATACAGTCTGGCCGAGCTCCGGTGCTCCGGTGCTTGTGTTGCTACGATTTCGCTTTTCCTGAAACCTCCAATGAGGAGTTTTCGAAAACTTGTAATGGAAAACCTGCCGTTTTTGAGGAATTATAACATGTTTTAGGAATTGTGCTAATGTAAGATCGCCAACGCTCTCTTTGTAAATAAACGTGTGCCCGGAAAACTGTAAACTGCTTTTGTTTACAGAGTTACAACAGCGGCGCTCATTAATAAGCAGGTTCCTGAGAATCTGGCAGCTAAAAAGCTGCTGTAGATCAGGCCGAAAATCGTCCGGGGGAAAATCTAAAGTCAAGCTAAAGCCTTGGTGCTGTCGGCTATTCTCAATACATGGCTACCTCGCTCTAATTTTATTTACAGTAACAATACCCTTTTAGCGGCAGGATGTTGTAAATCAAAACTTAGATATCTGAAGCACTGATATCGTCTTCTTTGTCCTGGTCTTGTGAAACCAATACTCAGACATAGTATAGGTAGAAGCTGGTATATGACGCTTTTCCATACTCCGAGAACATCTTTCCTTTTAACTACGAGGCTTTGAAAACACAATTCTTGCTCGAATTTTATTTTTATTCCCGGAAAGAACTTGAGAGCGCCCTCTAGAGTTTCTTTGAATTCCTCTCTGCGTCTCTATCCATAAAATTACCACATGAAATCAATACACTCTGCTCGTGTTTACTTGCGGGCGGTGACGTCAGGGCGTATTGTGTGTTATCCAATCACTGCCACATCCAGATTCTGGATGTGTCACACGATTTGCTGAATGGTTTTGTGTCAGGCCTTCCTTTCTCTTCTCCCCCTCCCCCCTCCCCCATCAAAAATCTCCTCTCCCCAATCCCCTTAGGAAGGCCCTTTTTGTATGTCATTTTAAGAATGCACGTTGCCAGGGATACCATTACTCAATTAAAAAGGTTGTAATTTTTTTCATCGCCCCTTTCTTGTTTCTTTAAAATCAGTTAATAATCATGGACCGAAGCAATCCTTTTTTGTGTTACTATTTCCATTCCAATAGTTTCCTTTCAAACTGAATAAAGCGACTTCTTGTATAGTGCAACTGATGGCGTATGCCGTGATCTTCGCGCCAATTAGAGGTGTCATTAAATGTAGCCAGGGGACCATTTGAAAAGAAAATTATCTAAATTCATAAATATTTAATGTCCGCCTTTCAGACGTTAAATGACTTGAGGGAATGAATAGGGATGTCTATAAAACGCGAAAATTTAAAAATTGTTCGAAAATTATTTTTACCCACTTAGTCAAAAGGAAAAAAGCGGTTGGCTAGAGCGTATACGGAAATACGGAGATCTCGGTGAAAATTTTCCGTCAAACTCAAATGGTAGTTTTTTCTGGTACGAGAAAAAGTAACGGGATTTAGTTGTACCAACCATAAAATGCCACTAAATTTTCCGTTTTCTTGTTAGCGGGAAGCCTGGCGCTGGTTGTCCACACAAATGGCTCAGAAATTTTCGTTCGTTTCTGTAAAAGCGGGGGAAAGAGAATACCAAATGGAATGGTTCATCCAGGTGGAATGTGTGCTATGCCGGATATTTGCATATAAGTTTCGACAAGCAATTGCGATGCGTCTGTGCTCACTGCCCGGTACATTTGCCACTGCACTTTAGTAATTAAATCAGTCGCGCGTTAGTTTCCCGCCAACCAAGCGAAAGTAGCACGTAACAAAGCGAACCTTGACTTTGTCACTCGTGTTTTTTCTCCATTTGGGCTTACAGATTCTGATTAAAGTTATAATATAACCACATTTCCCTCCTGTTTTTGAAAGCGGTAATTTTATCTTATTTATATCTTTAGCACTCCATCGCAGAGCATTAGGGAACTTAAGATAGAGACGTTTTTGGGGCGACGGCGACCGGAATGGCAGAGCAATCCTGGAACTGAGGTAGCCGTCGCTTCTCTCCAAAATTCGAACATTAAGATCGCAGTGAACGCAGGAGGACGGCGCCTTGGAAGACTACCGAAGGGAAAAATATGGCTTCACATAAAGAAGTAAGAGAATTAATGCTTAATTGCTTGCATGCAACAACAACAACTTTATTTCAGTATTCCCACGTTAGTACGTGGTATTACCAACTATTCTTAAAAAAATTTCAATACACACGTTTCATTTATACGATACTCTAACGAAAAAAGTGACCTAAAAACACACAATTAAAATATCGGAGTTCATATTTTTTGTCCGGATACTTTCATTTGACTCGTAGGACAATTTTGTCCATGTAAAGCTCAGTTACGGTTTGCTGTTTGCCATATTGGATCAGGTTGCATCTTGACTCTGTGACATCCGAAACATAGAAACATTATAAAGATGTAAGTTTAGCTAACAGAGCTTGGAAATCGAGCTTGAAATGTGACTCATAGAAAACAAGGATAATTTAAGGACGATAATCTGCAAAATTCTGGTTGCTAAATGCAACAAACCTGATTGAAATGAGAGTTGAATACTCACGTTCTCGCCACAACGCCAAACAGACCAGTTTCACGTCGCCGACGGGAGCACGACGGTAATGTGGTGAGCAAGAGCATGCGCAATTTTGCACAAATCATGACGTCACGTCCGGTTGAAGTTGCNTGACTCTGTGACATCCGAAACATAGAAACATTATAAAGATGTAAGTTTAGCTAACAGAGCTTGGAAATCGAGCTTGAAATGTGACTCATAGAAAACAAGGATAATTTAAGGACGATAATCTGCAAAATTCTGGTTGCTAAATGCAACAAACCTGATTGAAATGAGAGTTGAATACTCACGTTCTCGCCACAACGCCAAACAGACCAGTTTCACGTCGCCGACGGGAGCACGACGGTAATGTGGTGAGCAAGAGCATGCGCAATTTTGCACAAATCATGACGTCACGTCCGGTTGAAGTTGCCGTCGCCCCGAAAACGTCTCCATCTTAAGTTCCCTATTGTTCAGGGGCACCCAACGACTGTTTTCTGTAAAATATCTTTTGTGAGAAGCAAACATCGCTTAAAACTTTCTTTTGCTTGAGGAAGGCTAAAAATTTCCAGATGAACGTTCCATTCATGTACAATTTTCCAAGCTAATAAATTCCCTACGATTTTCAGAAGTTTAATTTATATTATTTTACTACCCAGGTTACACTATTTTTCTTAGAAAAACGAAACCTAAAATTTTCTGATTTTAAAATGTGATGGAGAGAGGAATCAGAAAAATTCTTACTTTCGTAAAACGTTAAATTAAGCCTAAAATTTTCGGAAAAAAATACTGAAGCCTTTGTAATTTCGAAAAGACTTAAGTTCCCCTAGGATGACCGAACAGACAAAAATTTTGTAACGCTGCTTAGAATGCATTTCTAGAGATCTAAAAGTACTCTGGATAGCCTAGTAAAAAGTTTTTTCAACGTATATTGAAGGAAACCGTCGTTGGGTGCCCCTGATTGTTTTCCTCGAAGTTATTAAAAAAGGGAAAGAAGAGTTAATAATTATTTTATTCAACAATTGCTACAGGGAAACTCATTGATTCTACTTATCCTCCTCCACCGCGGCCTTATGAATACTCTTTAACATCACGTTTTACTTAAACAGGAGGGTGAAGTTTGTATTTGTGCTATCGCTGATGCTGTGTTACAGTTCAGCTCAGAGTGCTGATCCAGGTGAGTATATTGTACAGTCCAACCTATGTGAGTGACTGCCTTTCGTAAGCGACCATCTAACAAAAACACCAAAACTTTCCCAGTGAAAGCCTTACAGCTGGTACCCTAGTAAACGACCACCTCCTGTAAGCGACTGCGACCACACTATTTGGGTCTTACGGTTTAATGAATTTCATTGGTTTTAACCTCTTGTAAGCGACCACTTCATGTTCCTTCAAGCATTGCCTGATCTCTATTTTGGCAGTGTGTACTATGCTAATAGGAATATACGGAGAACTTTCCCAAAAATGGAACTACACACTTGCAATAACTTATCTTCCATGAAAAAAGTTGTGTTCGGACATCTCCTTAAGCGGCCATTGAGTCTGCATTTTTTGTGCTCTCTTATGGGGGTTCACATGTATTTTTATCGCGCAGAATATACTATACGCCCCTATTTTTCTCCTGTCTGTCCACCCAATCAGCTGACATGGAGAAAATAGAAACAAAACATCTGCGCGCAACTTTTCTGCTCTAAGTTTTTTTTTTGGCAATTTACGTGATCCACCTATCGTGTTCAAAAACTCAATCACCTCAAGTCAGATTTGATTTCAGGTAATATCCTGTAAGTTTGTGACATTGCATTTTTAAACCAGTGGGAAAAAAGTGGGGATTTAGGAAATTCGTTTAGTTTGTTATGTCATCTAAAACTTTTGAAAAAGCAAAGAACGTAGAAAAAAGAACATTGAGGGTGAGAACCTTAAGTTCTTAATTGATTAAGAGAACGCAAGTCTACGCGTAAAATTACAATCTTATTTTTATAGGATGTGGTTCTGTGGTAAACAACACCTTGACAAGTCCTGGATTTCCAACACCATACCCAAATAACATGTACTGTGTGTACAACGTTTCCATTCCATCCGGAAAGGCGCTGAAAATCAGTTTTTCAAATTTTTCCCTGGAATGGTCATGCTGGTAAGTAATTTAACAATAGACAGCTTTAGAGTCACGTTTACGACAAACGGCAAACTTCAGATTCAAGTTGAGAATATCTTAAAATTAAAAAAAATAGCAGGTAAAAACAGCTCGAAGCAATTCTTATAGATAAAACTGGCGTGAAACAATTCACTTTTTTGTAGAAGTAATGAACAATAAACATCAAGAAAAGGGAAAGGGAATCTGGTACAGATTCACTTTTACCACTTACAATAAAGTTAACGTGACTGATGACAAACAATAGAAAACCACTCAACTGATTCAGCTTTGGTAAGAGTACACTAGGAACTTAACTTAAAGTGATACTTGTTACTCTAAAACGTAACATTTTTGCTGGTCAAAACATACTCACGAATTCGGACGTTCGGCTTGTACGCTGCAAGTTTGCGGATCTGTGATATTAGGCCTGGAAATAAGACAAAATCAGGTTTCTCAAGACCCAGGCTGGCAGGTAAGTATATCTCGACGGGGAAAAACACCGGCCAATGAGAATAGCCCTCTAATTTTAAAATAAAGATAGACCTAACTTTAGAAACTGATAACACGAAGAAGAATGTAAAACACACTGATACTCTTTAATTCTTTTAAGAAACTCTTTAATTCTTAAAAGAATTAAAGAGTATCTGCCAGTAAATTAGCGGTCTGGTCGATATGGCGTGAAAAATAGATTTCACTCATTTCTTGTGCGTTGAAAGACTTTCATGTACCTGCACTTAACGGCCCCAAACCTCTGGACTGTATTTTTAAAACGCTCGAATTTTTTAGACAATTTTGGTTCACCCCATCCAACGCTCGCGTTGCACGGCTTAATTCAAGGCTGAAAATCAACAAAACTTTGAATGCTGATTTGGAAAGAAATAGTAATTATTAAGTAAAAGAAATAACACAAACAACCATCATAATTCCTTTGACATAACACAGCGTTTTCTGCCAACATTAAGCACAATTTAACGCCATAGCAAGATTTTAATGAACCGCTTCCCGCACTGATAGATCAAGTGGAGCCAAACCACCCCCCAACTGGGGTCCCAAATGTGTCATTTGCTCTCGGATAAAAAATTGAAGTAGAGTAACTTATATAAAAACCATGATATTTTGTGAAAGATTACTTCCGAAAAAAATATGATTTCTACGATTTCTTCGATTCTTTCTTCTCCTAAAAACTGCCTACACAGTGCATTGATTATTCATTGACCCGCTGACAGCTTTTACTTCATCAGTATGGTATTTCTGTTGCATGTTTCGGCGCAGACGGCTCTCTCTCGAAATGTTCCTAGCGGAAGAGAGCGATGGAAGTCGGCTGTTTCGCAGCCTAATGAAGAAAATTCAAACCATTATTTACAAAATCGAATGTCCGTTGCTGGTGCTCGTAGATAGGCTCAAAAGGTGTAGAGACTTCTCATTGGCTAAACCGAGATCTGACCAATGATATGGTTTTCGATCTGGAAAATGCCATAGCTTTTTTAAAATCAAATTAAGATTTCACGCCTCAAGGCTTTTACGTGAGTTGAGATGAATGAAATCCCTTTTACAGGCTTTTGTCATCTGTAAGTAGGTCGAAAGCAAGAGAACATAAAAGCCTTTTGTTTAACGTTAATTGCCATTTGTAGACTGCGGCAATTCGACTGCTCGGGAGTGATAGATAGATAGATAGATAAATCGTTTATTAAAAAAAGAAACACCTCGCAGTCCGAAGACTGAATTACGTGTATAATATACAAGTTATAGTTAAAATGGATTTAAAAAACTATAAAAAATGTACAAATCTAACAAAAACATTTCACTTAGGATAACCTTGTGTTAGTAAAATATACATATTTAAACAAATTTATTTACATTCTTAGGCTATGGCTAACGATAAGATTTTTTAAGACGATCAGTCTTGCACACTGGCACGTTAAACTTTCTAGTCTAGAGTGACTCAAGTGCAACATAAAATAAAAGAATTTGATCGGCGGCTTGATATTCCGCAGAAACGTTTAGAGTTTCGTTAACTCCACAATAAAGAACGACTCGCAATTAGTTGAGGCAGGAGAACATAAACGGCTTTTATATTCTCTTGGCGGTTAGGGTTATTTCTAAGAATTTAACCGCCCTTGAAAGGTAAAAAACATATTTTTTCCCTTCTAGGTATGATTATTTGAGGATTGTAGATGATAACAACAGAATACTTGGTACATATTGTGGGCGCGAACTTAGTGGGGAGGTAGTTTTGGTAAATGGAAACTATGCATTAATAACATTCAGCTCTGATGGTTCTGATCAATACCAGGGATTCCAGCTCACGATATTATTTACTGAAAATGGTATGTTCAAATAAGAAGGGATTCTTTCATAAAAAGTAAATAAAATGAAATAAAATAAAATAAAGAATATAAGTAAGTTGCCATTCAGGTAAGATGTCAAAGTTGATGTTTAGAGGTCAAGGTGAGGTGCGCGGGATTTTTTAGAAAACTGATAAACAACTACTACGTGAACCCGGACGATTAAACTCAACCCACTTTTGAAATGACTCCTGGGTTCAAACCTTTCACCGTAATACAACTAATATTGATAAAACATGCAAAATTAGAGGTAATTTCAGCCTTTTTTTACTGTTAAGCAAACTCTAAGTCTGACTAGGAACACTATACAATCTTTCATTCTGGGTTATGCTGTAGTGCAGTATTTATTAACGACTTC